ACGCGAACAGAACACTCGCGAACCAACCTGATCTCCTTGAGCACTGTCCATAACCTGAGCTAACAAAACTCACATGGGGGCACACCAAAAATCACACAGAACCCTACCTACACCCCCTTTTCCTACTTGCAAACCTTCCACTGGCAGGTACCCTTTCTTAGGCCTTGCGCGACTGCACTTGAGAAGCAAGGGGGGGCAGTGGCGTGCATCTGTGGGTGGGTAGAAACCGGCATATCCTCATTAATCTTCTTCCCAAAGAAGAGTTTCCCTATTCCCCCTCCTCATAAGTTACCCTCTTCCCTACCTTCTTCACCCGAATAAAATGTACTCACTTTCGCTGCATCTGGACTGGAAGGTGAGCCAAATACAGGTATAATGACAGCATGCTCTATTCGGGGGCAGACGGTGGACTCCTGGTGATGCATCGCCACACTGCACCTTCTTTTTTTCCATGTAACAAGGTAACCTGCTGGAGGAAATGGACCAGATTCACAGTATCGAACAGAGCCCAAGCATGCGCAGGGCACTCTGCACTGTTTTAGCAGAATCCTCTACCGTTACTCCTGCATCTGGACTCCAAGGTGAGCCAAATACAGGTACAAGGACAGCATGTTCTTATTAGGGGGAAGACGGTGGACTCCTGGTGTTGCGTCAACACACTGCACCTTCTTTTTTTTCATGTAACGAGGTAAACCTGCTGGAGGAAATGGACCAGACTCACAGTATCGAACAGAGCCCAAGAATGAGCAGGGCACTCGGCACTGTTTTAGCAGAATCCTCTACCATTACTCCTGAGGAGACTACGCAGCCCATACAGCCGAGTGGAACATCCACAACTGTCAATAAGCAGATCAGTCATTAACACGAACGGCAAGGATAGAAAGATGTGGATGTAAGGTTCATTATAAACAGATCATGAGTTCGAATCCTGAAGGTGAATCACAAGGATTGTGATTAAAAAGAATGTAGTGCATGGTCTCCCTGCAGCACAGTTGTGTGGCCTCAGTCTCTGATTCCCTGACTGGCAGTCACGCTCCACCATTACACTTTCAAAGTAGCAAATGAAAAATCACTAATGGAGCTTTGAGATGAATATGACCCACCGAGGTTCAATTGCAAAGCTCAACCTGGGACCTGGGCCTGTCGGTGGGAATCGCTCACTTCCTTTCCTCTTGAGACGAAACGCTAAGCAAATCGCATCACATGCCACAGCCTCGTGCACATGCCACAGCCTCGTGGTGCGATCTCGAGCCTTTAACCCCTCCTTCCCCCTAACATTTCCCCCTCCCACATGTCTCTCTCTCTCTCTCCATCTCTCTTTCTCACTCGAACACACAGACGAAACTGAAAAACACAGATTGCGCCACGCGACCCAGTTTCACATTCCCCCACCCGCCGACGAATTTTCCCTAAGCCTACCCCCTACCCCCTCGCCGATCTCTCTCTCTCTCTCTCTCACACACACACACACACACACACACACACACACACACAGAGTCACACGGACAAACACAAACAGAAACCGAAAAAAACAACGTATACCAAAAACGAAATCACGTCTCCGACCAACCAAACCCCACCCCGACTTCCCCCTAGCCCTCTCTCCTTCCCC